GCAAGCATAGCCTGTTTGCCAATTTGACATAGAGTACGGACGTTAAAAGCTCCTATATAGGAAGGATCTCGTGGATTTAGAAAGGTGTTATTTTGTTTAATGTTTGTAGGCAGCGAGGAGCATAAGGCCCTTCGGTCAGATGACTGACAGTCAAATGGCCCAGCGACGTTTGCTTGTGCATTGGGAAGGGGTTGGGGAGGGACATCGGTAGACGCTGAACTGCGTGGGCAAATGATACTTCCCGGTTGCCCAGGCCGAGGAAGGGGGTTTGGTTGAGGTACCCCACCTTGAGCCTTGACTCAAAAGTCTGACCCACAAGGCAATGGGATGACGTAGGGTTTTGTTCGGGGACCCTGACCCTAGCCTCTGACTCAAAAGTCTGACCCACGAGGCAGTGGGAGAATATAGGGTTTTCTTTGGGGACCCTGCCCGGAGCCGATGACTCAATAGTCTGACCTGCTCGGCTGCAGGGGGTTGTCGGCCTAACCCGAGGGCGCAGGGAATAAGGCATTACTGTCTCATTCCTGATGCGGCTGCGCACAGCAGGTGCCTTTTGAGCAGCACCGGGCTCTTTGGTTTTAAAAGTATTTCGACCGTATTGGATAATGCGTCGGCGGTCACGGTCAACCGTTGGGCGATCGGAGTGTGCGGTTTTTGGGGCCGACCTTTTCTAACCTGTCCTTCCTCGGGGGAAGGCAGCATCGCTGCTTCCATAAATATGAACATGCTGGTCGCCTGGGGGAAACACCTTACTGCCTTCACACTCCTGTCGCAGAGGACAGTACGACTTTACCCCCAGACCGCCTCGTAGCACGACTACTCGTAGTACGGGGTCTCGCTGCTCCCCTTTGGCCTTCCTGGCGTGGTTGCACCTTGTGGAACGAAGTTCCAGCCAATGTAGCCCGCGGGATCGCTGCAGCGCTCAAGCCCGACCACCACGTCAAGGTTGCAGCTTTAGGTCGGGGAAGCGAAAACTAGCTACTGCTGCCGCCTCCCCTCTTCTGAAAGGAAACCACAAGCATTACTAGAAATGCTGATGAAGTTAATCCAGTCCTTTGACATGCGACTTGAGCCCACAAAGTGCAAACTCATGCCGCGGGACGTGCAGGTTTTGAACATGTTTTTAAGAATTCAAGAAGTGATGTTGTGGAATAACATACATATCTTGGAAGTAGCACTAACTTTGAAAGTATTGTGACAAACGAATGCAATACACGAAACTCAGAGGCCAGAATGAGTTTGTCAGTTTTTCACTTGTGGCATCAAAAAAGCATATCACTAGGTTTCAAAGGAGGTGCGTACCAGATTACAACGGGAACTGTACCCCTGTACGGCTGCAAGACTTGATCATTTCGGACGGATATGAGTTATCTTCAGGGTCAACAACCACCAATTTCTCAGACCCTTAGTTGCAATCAGCGATTTCGCAGAAGGTACTTTACTCAAAGAATGTACCTAGCACTACAGGTTCAGGTGACCGTACCATGGCATGCCAAGAAGGGCGCTGTTTTCCGTGTGGAATTTGGAGTGGCAAAAATTTAGTGGGTAGGATATGACAAGGCAGAAGGGAACGAAATTAATATTACGAAACGTTTGGACACTGTTGGTACTGTTTCTCAACCACAATGGGGGGTACGTGAAAGATCACTGCCAAATGCGTCCATTTCTATCCTGAGCACTGGAGGTGTGGGTACTCGGCTGTTTGTAGTAGGCTAACCCTATGTTACGCTCCATGTTCCATCTTTCTTGTTTCCATTATAAAGCTATACCAAAATAAATTGACATGGGTGTAGGGCGGTGAAGAACCAGTGGCCACCTCTGGTGCTGCTGTCACCAGTGATGACGAGGACGATAACTGTATTCTAATCATAATGATATTTTGTTAGCGGTTAAGTTAAATCATTGGGAGATCGGAATGTGCGGTTTTTAACCAGCACTTCCTCGGGTAAAGACATGATCGTTGTTTCCATAACTATGGACATGCCCATCACCTGGAGCAAACAACTTACTGCCTTGGCACTACTATAGAGGGGCGTAGTAGGGATATTACGGCCGATGTTATGACGGGCGACAGTTTAGTTTCGTCGAACAGCTCTCTTCCAGGCTTTCCGGCACGATCCCACCGTGTGATATGAGGTAGTCCACGAGACCAATGTAACCCTTAAGGTCGACCTTCACGCCGCAATACTTCATATCATGCAAAGAATCCAGGAAAGCGCAGGGGGTGAGACGGCGATGCCACCCTGGAAGACGGACAGCACCATCGATACCCAAACAGCTCGTAATCTCTTCCATACAGTCTGTCAAATCAGTTGTTAGTCACCCGAAAGTTTGCGTCAATCTGAAGCAGGTATGGAGAACAACGTCTGTCTAGGTGAAGGGTGATTAAGCTTTCGCAGCACATGCCCGGGGCATTATGGTTGATGGTGCGGGAAGTTTTCAGTGATTGAGTTGCCAGCTGCATGAATTTGACAGCGCCATCTGATACAGGCAACGACGTATCGAAAATCCGAAGATGATTCAGGTCTTCTACCCATATAATCCGTCTCAACAGCAACTTGGTGACACATGCACTCCAAGACCCAGTGTTATGCCTTTTCGACACAAATTGGCAGTGATTCGGACCCCGAAGTTTCGTGAACTGAATTCATCAGGTACACCTTCATCAGAGCTAACACAGTTACCGAGATATAGGGAACTCCTCAGAACCATTGATTCTCAAATTATAGAGGACACATTCCAAGACTACATATTCATCGAGTTAGGCAATTTTATTGCAAATGCCATATCACCGATCGAGATAACATCATCAATGCATTGTCAGGAAGCGGAATGTTAAGTAGACGCAACTGAATCAAACGTGCATCGGGTGAGGAATTCTGAATTCACCACTCTTCCTGAGTAGAGCATATGGGGGGTTTTCGGGACCAGCATTTCAGTAAGGCTGAAGGAGGTTCTATTTTCACAGCCCACGTTTCTATTACAGGCGGGGAGACCGGATGGAGAGTATCTGTTGGCCAAATAAATTGTTGTTCGAATCCGTCCACCTAGGCGTCAAAAGGTTCGCCTATAATGGATGTAGAAACAATTGGTTTTACTGACAAGATGCCTCCTGGGACCCTCCGGAAGAATCAAGCGGAACAACCTGTGAATATTCGCAGTTGTCTCCGCTTCTTGCGCTTTTCAGCCCTTTGTACTAAACAAACTCCCTATTCTGCACGGTCATTCAGTTATACCGGGGGCGGATGATACATCCACCTGGAGTGTGGTTGCAATGAATCTGCTGTCGGAGATCCGTTGCTTGGACGGGGCTAGCTGTACGACAAATAATAGTACCGGCTACCAGTACAGCCTTAGATATCTCGCTTCACGGGTTGTTAACACTGGATATCAAATAAGCAGAAGCGGGAGTCAGTCCCGATTCATTCGTCTGGTTCAGGAGTCCACGCAACTTATGGTGAACAATGCATGCATATTTTGATTGGACCTGAAAAGCATAATGAAAAGCAACAACAGACAAGGCTGTAACCGGAGTCCACTTACATCGCCAAAAAGAACCAGAAGCTAGGAATCGAACCTCGCCATCATTAAGTGGAACCAATGTGGGTTTTGGGGGTCCATGGCTGGCTCGTTGGTTCACGCCCCGTATTCGTCCGGTGACTCGTCTTCTAGCCCATGACTTATAGGTCTTAACCATGGGACAGCGATTGTTAGGGTTTTCTAAAGGGACCCCTCTCGGAGCCGACGATTCATTATTTTGCTGTTAAGGGCCGGCCTGACTCGAGGACTAGTAAGACATAGCTGTCCGACTCCTTATGAGGTTGTGCACAGCAGGTACCCTTTGAGCAGTGCCAGATGTCACTGTGTTGGTAGCCACAAAATAACCTTTGTATAATCGTCTTTTCCGATTATCACTGTCAGTTGTGCAAGAATATTCCCGTTTTATTTCTCGTCACAAAGCAGCCATAAACGTGAGATCCATGTTGATTAGTTATCCAACGGTTATTTTTATCGAATATTGTCACATGGGCTAAGGCACAAAAAACCGGTGGTGCCAACATCGACTGGCAAGGCGGAACAAGTCTGGAGTACCAACCAACCTGCTGTCTAACAGCAATCATAATCAGAACACTGAGGGCTGTTGGGATTGCAGTATCCCAAGACAATCTTAGCAAGACTCACCTGGAATCCCATTCCATCCGTTTCGCTCGAGTGAATTCTCTGTAAGCTCTGTTATGACGTCTGAATACGAAAGGACTTAACACATGGTGAATGAAAAGACAGAACAGGAAGCTATATAGCATCCAGTAATAAAAGTATGTGGGACCGAAATCATCTACTATGTAGTCATTGTACGTGGACGTCTCGTTCACATCCGGCATCTGCGAGGCGACCACAGCACATCCCCGTCAGGGTTGCCTTGAGTCAAGAAGCATGGACGCTATCAAAGTCAACCAATAGAAACATTGATTACTCCGGCAACGCATCAGCCAATCGGAAATCGGTACTGTCGACAGCTCATTGGACGCTTGTGTGGCGTGGGCGAAAGTCCAGCCCGTCGTAGCATGTAGCGTGATATAACGGTCGTCGTCATTGGCACGTAGCCGACTGGCTGTCTGTTCGCTCGCGAACGCGGCAGTTGGCTTGTGCGTTGCCGTGGGTTGCGTAGCCAACCTGGCCAAGCCGAACCCACGGGCTGGCATGGCGATAGAACATGTGACCACGGCCTACGAGGTTGAAAAACTACCTCGGCATCTTGGGTATCGTTCCGATTGAGCTGTGGGGCGGCCGCTGTGCAGCAAGTGATGACTATAACAAACGCGCAGTTCGACCGATAGTCGGCTGAGTCTCCCGTTAACACCAAGTTAATCTGAAACTTCAAGAAAAGCTTTCTTTTTCTTGAGCTGGAGGAGAGGGTTGGTTTGTTAAAGATCACCTAGGTTCATCTGAGCCTAACGTATACAAAAAAGCGAAATGCAGAGTCCTTTCGTTCGCCATTGCCGGTGAATTTTCTCCGGCAACTCAGCGCAGTTAAGAGCAGTTCCGGTTCAACGAAGGGTGCCAACTAACCGGATTCGGAGTTGAATGTGGTTTAATTGTCAGTGCACCGTATTGGAGGCTTCTTTATTTTTTTGCGGAAGTGCACGTCAGACAGCTGTCTAAAGTATTTGACCTCAACAACCGGACTGGGAATATTATTGCAGTCGCTCACTGTCCAGGTGGACTCTAGAACTGAACCCTAACTGAATCCGTCGTCGTTGAACATCTCTCCCACTTGTTATTCCGCAATATGTGACCTAGGTTTCATATGAAGCCTCGCCACCTAAGGGGACTTCCTCATGTCCGTATATATCAAACGCCGTGGAACTCAAGCCATTGATCATACGATGAAATGCAAATTGGAGAACTCATCCTGTACATCATATGGTTATTCGCCAGCCTCGGAAGTTTCGACTTCAGTTAACCGCACATAGTTTTCGGTAACACTCTGGGCTTTTTGGTATCTGACTTAGACGAAAAGTCGTCAGGACACTTCGAAAAAAATTCCCGGTCAATCGACTGCAATTGCGGTGCATTTGTCGCTTATTCCGGTGTCCATATAGAAGCACGTAATTCCGAATGCACAGAAATAGTGGGCCTTCGCATACCACACTTTAATAATATCTTTGATAAGCTGTGCTGGATCGGTTCTAGTTGCTGTCAGAGTTTGGTGAATCATTGGTTGAGTCTAGGAGTATCACACCTATCGAATGCAGGTTGGGCTACTTATAGACTGGAACACTGAGGTGCTCACCGACAGCATGTAACAGGGTTGGTGATGGATTGTGTGTGCATCAAATCATAATGCTCAGGTGCCTCACCGTTCGGCATACCAAACGATTCATTGAAGAAATTTCCATCCTCGGCTAATCTGTCTTTTGTCTCATTATCTCATTAAATGACAAAATAGCCAGGCTCAAGAGAATCGATTACATTGTGCATCTGGTATGCCAAAAAGACAGTAGTTTGGGTGTTCTACTTGTCAGGAACTAAAGGTCGATAGTTTGTTTTTAGTGACGAAATTAGCTACGTGGCAAGACCAGATATCGGCTTGAAATTCCTTGTGAAAGTAAATCCTAATACTGTGGTACACCGCTTATTGACAGGCCACCATTTATAAGATTGCCGGAGGTGAACAAAAAGGAACATCTTGTCATATTACAACCAGGTCGGTGGTTAGTCGTCATCCTTGTAGACATGAGAAATGACATTCAGGGTCGTCATTTGAATTCACAAGGTACGGCAAGGGAAACAGTCCAGTTATGCTCAAGAGAAACTCATCTCAGGAGATACGTCATCATCGTTATTATTATTATCAACATCATCATCATCACCATCACACTCTATTTGAACGCCAGGGTTTTTAGGACATTGCCGAGTTCGTCTCATGGTTTAGTCTTCACGAAATTAAATAAGCATGGAGAGAGTGGGTATCCGTGACGCACAACTCATTGTGTAGGGGAACCTTTAGAGAGCTCACCGTATATCCCACACATCCGGAAGTTTGAGTATACAAATAACGTATATTGTTCACAAAATTTCAAAGTATTTCTTGGTGGGCAAGCGTGTCAATGAGAAGAAACCAGCAAACCGATTCGAATGCGCCTGGAAAAAACAGGAAATCCAAACACACCCTCTAAAAGAACGTAGATTTGCTAGAGAAAAATCCGCCAACACATTGAAATCGAAGTGTACACAGTTACCAGAGATGTGTGCAGCCATAACCATACGAAATCAGGAGCTCCTTTCGGGCCAGTCCTATCGGCGATAACTTACCCTCAGTCCCGGTTAGCCAGACGGTTGTGGTAAATGGTGAAATTACTTCGTATTGGTCCATAACCCTCAACTTGTGGGATGGCTTCGAACTGGCACCATCGGTACGCGAAATGGACCTTGCAATTTTGAGCAGCAACTGAGGTTCACAAATATGTCCTCACGTGAAACCTGGTTTTTTTTACACGTCAACGACGAAAACGCCGGGAACAAAACTGAAACGTCTACAGCTGTTTTGCGCAAAGCAATTTAATTGCAGCTTGCGAGGTCAATATCCTGAACACAAAGGAAATTCACTTGGATGTGTCTTCGCAGATATACTCATGGATGTCATAGAAAGGCAAATGGAGAGTCTAATTAGTTAGGATAACTTCTACAAAACCTATAAATATTAACTTGTTAGTCACAGTTACAGTGCAAGAAACAAAGAAACAAATGTTCAAGGTACTGAACACCACTCATTCAAATAGCCAGTCAGCAATGCAGCCCGGAATGAGCGAAACATTTGGCTTTTCGGATATTTTACGGACTCGCCAAGACGATTAAACACTTCGGGGTTCATTTTCTAGACATGTCGCACTACACATAATGCTGCAGAGAACTGCAGGTAGTGTGGGGAGATTTGTTTTTGTATGTGGAGATTTCATTCTGTAAGTGAAGCCGATCTATGCTGCAAAGCGGAGAAACACTGTACAGCTGTTTCATCCTTATTGGGAATCATAAGCAGTGCGCAACTCATGAAACTCCAGAGAGTCTCGAACCCGCGATCCCCCGGCTAGTAGTTTGAGCACTTGACCGTTCGACCACGAGCGGCTCATCGGCAATGTGATTAACCTGTATTTGCCTTCATGTGCCACCGAATTCTGACCCCTGCAGTTAAAGTGCATCTACAGCTTTACTTCATCTCTAGTCCTATTTGCTATCTACACAGATCTACTGAGAGGCAACCACCATTTGTGCGGGTCAAACACATCTCGATTTGAACTCGGGAGAGTTTGAGCTAATCCCATATTAATGTCAGGCTCGACAAACACGAACCTCGCGACGAATGTAATCTACCGGACACAACGGGGAGAAGATACGTCCAATAATGTTGCGGATGGCCATTTTGAAGCTCTGGAAGTCTAGACAAAAAACTGCCTGGGAAAACTAAGAGTTAGTTTTGGTGTTATTATATTTCAAGCTCACGGAGTCATCTAGGCTAGGATAATTATATTAGTATTCGTAATTCTTATAACGCACTTGAGTGTGTAAAAACATTGTGAGACTCTCGAACAAATCGCGAGATTGTACGAAAGGTATTGGCAAGTACCATTTTTAACATGCAAGGAAGCTCCGGCTGTAAAGTTAGTCCATCCACGGCGATTCTCCTTCACACGAATGTTCAGTTCTCCAAACTAGTAAATTTGCCCACTGTGAGTTTAGAAGCGTTATCTTATCTCGGTCCGTTGTTATGGTATTCCGGTTGCTGATAGGGGGAGACCAAACGAACCGAAGACACATGAAAGATGAAGAGACCTTTTAAATAAGTATCGAATCTACATAATGTAGCACTTAGACCATGGTGTGAAAGGCCTCTCAACCACGGTAGGCTAGTTTCGAAGGTTTTGCCCGATGCCGTGAAGAGTTTCAGTAGACTAATCACACACAGTATACTCTATAAATAGCGTTGTTTTCCTAATCTATTACCACTAACCTATTAACATTATTAATAATATTATTATTACTATTGTTCAAGAATGGTCCGTCCCCGGGCCAGCTGTTTGATGATAAATATAAATGACTGCAGTGTTTTAGATTCGTTTGATGCCTACCTTCTAAGTGCCCGTGAGGTTACGCGCATACCACGACAGTTTAAAACGTTGGTGTGGAATGATGAATAATGATTATATTTCATGCAGTCATCAATAAAATCACTGGATATCCTCTATTCTGCGAGCCTTTCACCACGTTCAAGGTAACTTTCCAGAAGTTTCGACGTTAAGAGACAGTCGCTTTCAATCAATTGGAAAATGTTTGGGACCGTCGCTTTGTTTGGCTGTCTAAAACAGAACAATAACAGGAAAATTTGGGCGAAAGTTACCTCTGACATCTGTTTCACTGGTTCAGATCGACATTAAGGACAGTCGCTTTCAATCAATTGGAAAATGTTTGGGACCGTCGCTTTGTTTGGCTGTCTAAAACAGAACAATAACAGGAAAATTTGGGCGAAAGTTACCTCTGACATCTGTTTCACTGGTTCAGATATCTACGGAAAGAACAGAGCCGATCACTACCGTAAGCGCCAGATCGGTTAAAGCGATCATTTTTGGTTAAGATCAGTAAATGTGACGTGAGTCCGGTGAGTCACATGAAGATACGTTTTCGTCCGGCATGTGTGATCCAGACAATCACATCACCAGTAAAACGTTGATCTTGACAGCTTAGATATCTGTCAGTGTTTTCTCAGGTGGTATCTGGTCGCGCAGGAGAACATCTTTGAGCTTGAAGGATGGAAAATTGTTGGCTGTTGCTGGAAAAAGGCATGCTTCGTGTAGTCTGATGTAACCTGATAAAGGTGCACCAGGAGGGGCAAGCTCACACAAAGAGTGCAATATGAAGTACTGAA